TGTGTCACCACTACATGCTTACACACTTGCCAGGTCCCCTACAGATCCTTGAAGCTGTGGCCCAGGAGGACAGGCTCTTACAACCTTTTCTGTGGTTGCAGTGCTCGGCAAAGGCTGAATCCCACTGGGCACCGTGCCGGGACAGGCTGTGCCAGGTCCTAAAACAAGCACTTTCTTGGAGGGAGCACAAAGGAGGGCTGCCTAGAGCGGAAACCCTGCTGCTGCCAGACTCCCTCCCCATGACACACCCTCCTGCTGTCAGCAGAATCTGTGATTTAAGACAGTTTTAAGGAAAATATTTCTGTGTGTAGCTCACGCACTTGTTAAAGATGTTGTGGTTTGGTTCTTCAGTCAGTGAGTGTGCCTCGCTGCATCAATTGTCTGTCTCATACAGATCTAAAATCCCTCACCTGAAGACACTCCATCTCCATGTTGTTTTGGGATTGCAGCCTCCCTGCACAGCCAAGAGGGAATGACACATCATCTAGATGTTTTGCTGACTTCTGACAGCCTCAGAGCACAGGATTCAGTTGTGGGTAAAAGAAAACATGCAGAAGACCTGAGACTTGACTTAAAGAAAAAATGATGGAGAGACAGAAGAGTCAATAACAACTTCATGGTTAACAATGAAAGAACAAAACCATTTTTTGATACCTACACTCACCCACACTAGAACAGCCCACGTTTCACAGTGACACTTACAGGTACATTTGATCTTCCCATTGTAGGTTTCCTCCCCAGCTTTTCAGCCACTCCCATCTTTTCAAGGGAAGACTAGAGTGTGATGACACCTCCTGTGGCTCTCTGGGGTTTCTGGGATGTGTGTTCATGTGCCCAGATGTGTACATATATCTCATCTGCCCATCTCTGTCCTTCTGCTGCACCTGCCCAAGGCTTGGCAGCCTTTGCCTGATTTTCCCAGGAAAAAGCTTCTGATGCCTTTTCCACCCCAGTCTGAAATGGAGACAAAGCCAAGTGCAGTTCTTGGCATGCAGCTATCCTAATGATACTGTGACACAGGGAGGAAACCCATCCAAGAGACATCTGCTCATTTATCACATGACGGGCGCTGCTTTTGGAACACCAGATTAGCATAATTTGTCTGCCACAGTATCAGACACCCTTCAGCAGCTCAAAGTTAAACAACATTTCTGCAGAGCTCCTTAGGGGTTTGCTATGTTTATTTTAAAATATGTTTCTCTTTTGGAATTTGGGTCTCCATATCCAGGACCCTCATGACTCCAGCACATTAGATGCTGACTGGGAAGGGAAGAGCACTGGGCACAGTTCACACCAGCAAGGGAACTCTCTGCAGGGCTCTCCAGAAGAAAGGCACTAATGATTAGCATGAGTGTCTCTGTAGAGAAAACAGCATGAACCACACTGTTCACACTGACTACTCACACATCACCTAACATTTACCTCTTCAAATTATCACTCAGATAAAAACTACTACAGACTCACAGTCATCATGACAATAGAGAGCCATGCTGAGGTGGGATGCCTCGAGGCTCCTCAGCATTGGCTCTGAACCATATTCCCTCCCAGATGCTACAGCCTCTGGGCAGCTGCTCTTATCTTCAGCAAGCAGAGGGCTGAAGGAGAGGCCTTCTTCTCAAAGCACAGTCTCTGAGGCATGCAGAGCTCCCCAAAGCCACCACAGCTGACCCCACAGATGCTACACCCCAGACCTGGCTGTGTGGGGCAACAGGTCACAGATATGGATGAGCCAACTCAAGCCTAGAAACCAGGTTGCCCAGCCACAAGGCTTTGTGCCTGAACTACACAGCCAGCCTTGATTCTGGCCTCTAGTGGGGAAGCCCCTACAGCCCAGGAAGATGCTGGTTCTGTCCTGGGCTGCCCCCAAGAGCAGACTGCCCCATGCCAGTGAAACAAGGGGGTGTGTTTGCTGGGTGGGAGCCTCTGCGTGTGTGCTGTCCCACGGGCAGCCTGCCTGCACGGCTCCATCTGGTTTGGGAAACAAAGCAAACAACACAGCCCACAGCACCATTTCCAAGGAACTGTCGTCACTTGCTCAGTCCAAACTCAAAACAAAACACCACCACCCACACTATTTGTAAGACAGAACCATACCTGAGCTCAGATTTGAGGACACACAAAACTTCCAGCAGGTACTCACGTCAGGCAGCCCCAGGCAGGGTTTCTGGAGGCACCCCAAGGTTAATGGCTCCATCTCAGGAAAAGCAAAGCTGCTGTGGGGACAACCTGACTTTGGTTAAGTTTCAGAGAGCTAAATCAATTCTTTAAATTGACATAATTTAAAAAATGTAATTTTCAACGGTTATTCCTGGAGGGAGCAATTTGAAGAGGGGGAACAGTCTATCACCACTTTTGTATTTATCAAGTTTTGGGGTTCGAAATGTTGGGATATCTGCTGACAGTGATTTCTGAGATTCAGCAACTGTGGGCCATACTTCACGTATACATCCTTATCCTTGTTTTTTGTTGTTTGTTTTTTTGGTCAGGACATATTTTAATGGGGGACAGATGAAAGAAAGAGAGGGCACATTCATTTATTTATTTTCTGACAGACCATGGAGAGAAAAAAAAATTAAGAATGATTAAACCAACAAACTTTCTTTAATAAATTAATAGCAGCATCACAAAACCCTGATGTGAGTGACCCAAAGAAAGCTGGGTACGTGACAGTATATAAACATTCACAAAAATGTTGTCACCCACTGCCTGGGAGAGAACACGAGGCGCTGTCAGGCAGTGCCCTTGGCTCTTCATCCAAACAAGGGCTGTACATCAGAACAGGTCCAGCTGAGTTGACATATTTACAGTTCTGGTGCTGAATTTTTTAAAAACATTTATAAAAATCCTGAAAATTCTCTGTTCAGTTCCCATTTTTTGCATCCAAATATAGCAGGTTCCCTTTTTTGCCCATACGACAGAACCGACAAGGGTAAGACATGAAGGCTCCTATGCAAAGACAAGGCCTGTGTGTAGGCTTATACTAAGTTCAGGGATGCTGTGAAAATGAGTTATTCACTCATTACTTACACATGCTAGAAGCTACTGTAATTCAACTTATTGCTAAATGCTTTCAAAATCTGTGGTTGGCTCTTAAATATATATATATATGTGTATATGTATAGGTACAAACTCACACATATATATACATACACACATATACATGTTTGGAAAAGATGTGCTATAAATTCACCAAAGGAAAAAAAACAACTTAAAAAGCAATGTGATGGCTCTGATTTTTCTGTACTGTTTGAGATAATAAAATCTGACTCAGGGTAAAGAGAAGTCACTGAAGGACCAAGTTTGTGTCTCTGGCCAGTCCTTTTCCTACTGATTACCTGACGTTTTTGGAGAGGCAAGCGGATTCCAGGGCATTCAACCCATGGTGGTATCTGCAGGCTGGCACATGGAGCATCTCTGCTGCCTTCTTCAAGCAGCAGAGGCTTGGGATACCTCTGCACTAGGATACCTTGTCTGCCTGCATGGAAGTACTACGGATTTTTCCCAGGAGGGGATGAGGGAGAAAAGAGAACCATCTTCAACACATCAGTCTGGGATCAAGCCAGCAGCAGAGACAACCCATGTGTTGTGTTTTAGTAGTGGCCTCAGCAAGGTTGTTGCTGCACACGGCAATGCAACAGCAGTTACCTAAAGCATTAGCAGAATTTTCTGTTTCTTCTAGAAGGTAATTTTAATGGCATGAACACAGCAAGCTTAGAGTACAAGCAATTCATGTTAATAAAATGCGATTTAACCATGCCCAGTGTAATGTTCTCTGTTCTGATGATTATCATAGCCAGAGGCTGTCAGTGATGCTAAATGCATCCATGTTAGATGGGCACTGCAGCATCTGTGTGGTATTTAATGAAGATATAAAAACCTTATGGGTGATATCTGGCATTAGACAATACTCCACACAAGGAAATTTGCATGAGAGGCATCACCCCAGAGACACAGTGCCAGAAAGACATGGTGCCTTGGGGAGTTTGTGTACTCAAGAACGCAGAGGAAAATTAATTCAAATTGTACCTGGTGTGTATTAAAAGCAGATTACTTAAACTGCATTCCATCCCAATGTCGATGCTTTCATTAAAGATATAAGTGGTGTTAATATGATACACCGTAATTTACTTTGGGAGTAAAATGGAATATTTCAAATTTAAAAATTAACCCTGTAGATTAGCTCCAGGTCTGCTTCCTTCCTGTCCCTGGTCACCATTTCCTTTTGAACCCTGCCACTAGCAAATGATTCCAATTACATGCTCTGCTCAGCTCTGCCCACCCCATCCTGAGGCAGGAGCAGGGACCTTCACTTGTGCCTCTCCCCCAGCATCCCCAGGCAGGCCCATCCTGCTCCTCACAGCTTGACCCTGGCCAGCACCACACACAGAGCAGCCTCTGCTCTACACCCAAAGCAGTGGTCTACCACCAGCACTGCCAGTCCCAGGATGTTGAAAAATAAAAGTAAATGCCAGCAAGCTAAAGAATAGCTAGATGTGAGGACCCAGAAGGCCAAAGATCTGGTCCTTCCAAAGCTAGAGTGCTCTTCTGCAGGTCAGTCAAAGCCCCTGACCCTCCAGCAGCATGTGAAGGCAGTGCACTGAGCACAGCCTGCTCCATCCCAGACCTCATGGGTTTCTGAAAGACCAAAGGAGGGCTTTTTATCAGTCTGAGTGGACTGGAATAGTAACTAGAAATAGAGAACTTTGTCTCTCATGCTTCTTCTCCAAGTCTGCAAGTGACCCCAGACAGGACTGCAAAACCACACCAGAACTGCATTCCCTACCTTCCCTAGGGGAGCCAGAGCCTCCTGTGCAATGGAAAGAAAACAGCAGGGTTGGAGAGGGAGCCAAAATTTAGCAGAGGACCCCTGAATTGCAAGACTGACCCAGTATGGCAGCAAGACACAGGACATGTCTGGCCAGGTGCCTGCATGGCCACTACGCTTTTGTGATGTCTTTCTGCCAGGTTTCTGTAAAGTCTTTACACGGCACAAATAGGGGTGAGGATTTAAAGTATATATTTACTGTCAACTTGAAAAAGAAAGTTATACTGACCAAGTCTAATAGCATGTATTTGATATATAACTATTAACGTGCCATTCTGGACTCCAGCAAATTCCACCTGAGATAAATATTCAGCATTTTTTTCATGCACTGGAAGAAGAATTCAAACATTTTGTCCATGACATATGCAGAGTAACTAATAGTTCTGATCTATTAGTAACAGTAAATATAGAACCTTAAACTTCACTGCAGTATATTAATATATATGATTTTAAGTACCGGACTGGAAAGACAACTCCTTTTTTTCTTTAAAAAAAAAAAGCTTTGTTCAGAATGCAATATTTACATTGTCCTTTGAGCGACACTTACATTTTTACACAATGTATTTTGGCTACAGATACACCGTAGCAAAAGGCTGTGTGAGTCACCCTTACACACAGCTCACTCTTTCGCTTACAACATTACAGCTGTTTATGGAGAGCTCTGAAGTCCCTGGTTGCAGTTCCAGGCCCTCCTCAGCTTCTAGTTCCATGCTGTTGAATTCATTGCCATTTCGATAACTAGTTAAAGTCAGATCTTTCCCATATAAAGCTGTTGAAGCAACATTCAGACACTGATTCTGCCGCAGTGCTGATTTTTTCCCGGTCTTGTATTGGCAGCGGATGTAATTGGAAAAAGCCCTGCGGTAGGTTTTGTTGAAGAGTGTGTACACCAGGGGATTAACCCCCGAGCAAACATACCCCACCCAAACAAACACATCAAGCAGTTCACTCAGGAGGTCTTTGTCGCAGGCTTCCTTGCAAAGGACAGACATGACATTAGTGATGAAAAACGGGCACCACATGATGAGGAACAAAAAGAAGACGATGCCCAGGACCTTGGAGGCTCTTCGCTCGTTGTTGATGGACTGCATAGTTCCTTTCCTGAAAAGCACTGCCTCCTTATTTACAGGGGAGTTCAAGTGAGATGCCCCCTCGTGATTGTGGAGCATTGAAATGTTCTCTGCGTTGTTTTCCTTCTTGAGGCAGTTCACACTGCTCCTCCTCTGCTTGGGCACCTCTCCACACATGAACACCGTCGCCTGTCTCTGCAGCACCTGGACAGTCAGGCAGTACGTGATCACCATGATGATGAGGGGGATGAAGAAAGCCATGAAGGATCCAATGAGGACGAAGTTCTCATCGTTGAGGACGCAGGTCCCGTTTACAAACACTCTGGAGTCATCCTGCAAACCAATGACCGGAATAGGCATAGATATCCCTGGAAAAAATGAAACCAAAAAAGAGACTGTTACCTGGATGGATGGACGGGGCTCCAAAGAGGCAGCAGAGATGATGCAGGCCCTGCATGCATTCAGATCACATTGCCTAAAGCTTTTTGAAAGGGAAGTTACTGCTTTCAAGTGGAAGGGAAAACCTCATTAGACAACACTCTTGGGAGCACAGCTCAAAGGGAATGACACCCTCCTCCGGGAACAGCAGCAGTTTTGCTGTGCTCCACAGCTGACTCAGTGAATGCACCCTAACTCCTATATAGAGTTATTTTTCTAGCATTAATTGCAATTTCTAGGTGGAGAAAAGGCAGTCACTACCCTGCTCTGTTCCCAGCTGGCCACTCCATACCAGTCTGGGGGGTTTTTTGAAGTCACACAGGGTAGAGTGGAGCAAATTTTACATAGAAAAATTTTCAAAATTCAAAAGAATTACAGCCATGAAGATTTAAAAGTAAGTTTCTTTAAGAAATTAAAATAATACTGATTAAAAAATTGCCACTCTTGCCATGTCCTCACGGGCACATGGAAGCAAAACTCCTGCCCTTCTGGGTCCTTATGGACTCCCTCAGTGCAAGCAGACAATGGTCTCTGCAAGATCAAAGTCCAATATTTTTCATGTGTTCTGAGATCCAAACTTTGTCCCTTGATCTGTGGAGCTCAGTCCAACACCAGGACAGACACAAAACATTTCCAAAATCAACAATATATTCTGGAATGCCACATCCTGTGTGTACAGGAGAACCTGGAAAAGATGTGGTGGGCCTGTTCTAGTTAGACCATCATGGGTTCATCTAGTCCTGTCTCATGTCTTTGACAGGTACCAGAAGCTTAGGGCCATGATACGAAAGGGGATAGCTCTAAGCATTATAGCTGAAAAAATTCCAAACCAAGAATTTGCATCCATATCTTGTTTTTAAAATGGCTTTTCAGAGATTTGTCTCCCATGAACCCTTGATCTCGTTTCTAACTGCACAATTCTCAGTGGCCTTCAGTTCCCCAACCCACCTGTTTGTGATGGGAACAAATTCTTGCTCATTTTATATTTGCTACCTGACAATTTCCTTTGACTCCCATAAGTTCCTCTGCTGTGAGGAACAGCAAATAATCACTTTCTGGTCACCTTTTCCACCTTCTCAGTGACTTTATAAACCTGTTGTCATCTCTCTTGTCTGACATCTCTTTTGGAACTGAAGAATACAGTTCTGTTCACTCTCTGTCCTCATGCCAAACTCGTTCTATGCCTTTGGTTGTCTTTCTCCCTTTCTTTTTAAGTTCTTTTCCATCCTTTTAAAGAAAGGAAAAAACCTGCATATCCAAGCAGTTAGAGAGCAATAGAGTGTCTTCTGCTCTCCCCTCTGGCCACCTGGCTGTCATGGAGCACCCACTCCTCAGACACATCTGTGGGGCTGGCCATGCCCTTCCTTAGCTCCTTCATCCAAGAAATAATCCACACTGCAGCCACTGTTGGGCCTGGATTGTTTTTTTTGGAGTTACTGTGAACAGCACAGATCACAGAGCTAATCCTGTGGAACTCTGAATTTCTAAACAGGAAAAGTAACATGCTAAAGAGATTAACCAGGGCATTTTTCCCACTCCAGCTAAGTGTTTTCCAGGTTTCTGGAGAATTCATCTGCAATTTGTCATTACCATAAAATTACCATGTGCCAGTAAGTTAGTGAAGGAATTTCTTCTGAAAAGTAACGATTATAAATGCCTTCTGTGATTCTAAAATGTGTCTCCTTAGCTCAAGCATTAGTTCTAAGATTTGCTCTTCTCTCTCTCTACGTGCCAGTGTTTATCAGTTTACCCTTGGCAAGGCAGTTGCTTCCCTTCCAATATGTTAACCCCTGTTACCTCTCCTGTGCCAAATCCCTGTGACTGCAAAATCCTTCATCCCATCAAACCATTAAATCATGGGATTTAATCATTAAATCATCATTAAAGACATCATTCTAATGCCTTGGCTCCATCAAACCACAGACATCTGGGAAATGGTGGAAGTTGGATACTGGTAAAGCAGTCTTTACACAAAGATGAAATCTGAATTAAATCAATGGCATTACACTGGGATTACATTTACATGGATAATTTTATGCTTTAGTGCCCTCTGAAACACCCACCCTTTGAAATACTCCAAAATGAATACAAGTTCATTCATGAAGTAGTCATCATTTAGTTTACTGTTACTGCTTTAGCCAAGGGAAATGAGATGAGGCTTTGGGATATCTTCACATACAAAGTGGCATTTATGTGACACCCATAAAGTACATTTGGGAAGAATAACCTGGTTCTGGAATATGATGAATATACAAATCAAGAGCACTGATGGCAGCCTAAAACTCTGCATGAGCATGAGATACCTCAGCATTGATGACAGGCAGTAGGAAGAAAGCAGCAGCAGGAAGAAAGATGCCCTCAGATAAGCTGCCAACACACTTTGATTCAGCTGTCAGCCAGCACCCAGCACTGCTGAATGGGCAGCACTGCCCTCATCTCCAGGGCTTTCTTTCACCTCACACTTCTCCTTTGTAAACTCGTTCTTTAATACATGATTTATCACTGATGCACTGCACAATTGAGCCTGAAAGGGAACTAAGACTGGACACACCTTGGGCAACAGGAACTAACTTGATACCCTCTAAGTAAGTGAGAAGTAACTGTGGAAGGTCTCAAACACCTCAGAAGGGCTTCCTTCATGGGGGATTACTGCAAAAATGCTGCTGCCACAATCCCAAATGCAACAATACCTGCTTGCAGACACAGCTCACACCCTGGCCGTGGTTTCAGTGGGGGTACATTGGTCAGCCCATGCTGTGCTTACCACCAAGCATTCCATGGTGCCTGGGCACGGGTGGGCACAAATGCCTGCCTGATGTGAGCTCAGCTGCTAGAACAGGATGGAGAAGGCATCCAGCTTCACTTGACTCAAGCAACCCACAGTACTAACAAAGCAGTTTTAGATGTTCATAACTTAAAAACTAAGGTCAGTTGGTCAGAGAATGCCAAACTCACTACACCAGTGAGGGTGAGTGTCTAATCAGGCAAGAGGCTCTGAAGCCAACTGCTGCCCACAGCCTTTCTCCTGCACAGCTCTCTGAGCCCCAGTGCAGAGCATTTCATGAGCTTTTGCCCGACACACTCTCCATCAACAAACTTCAGGCTGATTCAGTGAGCTGAGTTCTCCATCCTCAGACACATTTTCCAGTTGTGTCAAATAACTTTCTAACTAAGCTGGCAGCGAAGTCCCCAAGAGAGGCAGGGCTGCTCCAAAAACTTGCATTGTGAAAGTTTTGCAAGCCTATTGCATACCACAGAGTTTGCTCTTCAGAGCAAACTTGGTCCTCTTGTTTGGTATTTGAGCAGTGCCCAGGGCAACTGGTTTTGCCCCAGCAAGAAGAGACAACAGCCACCATCAGCCAGCCAAGAACCAGATCCCTGCTTGACTCAACACTGGGAGCTCTGTGCACCTTCTGCCAGGCAGCAGCTTGAGCAGGATATCCCTTTTCACCACACCAGAGAAAATGGATGTGATTTTTTCCATCCTCTCTCCTCTTTTAGCTTCTGTCTGACAGAGCAGCAGGAAGCAAGACAGAGAGAGATCCCCCAGATTACAAATCCAATTACAACTGTTGTCCTAACTGCTTCTTGTCAGCTTTAAAGATGTCCTTAAGCCAGCAGAACGATTCACCAAATGGGGCTGAGATGATGCTGTGGACTCAGAGCAACAGATGCTCTTTACAGATTCTCAATTAATAAAACAAAACCCAAACGACTAGAAATACGTGTTTGTAAAACGTGTACTCGCTGCAGAGAAAAAGCTGGCTAAAAAGTCCAAACTGACATTCCCAGGATTTAGACTTAAATGAAAAACAATACAGGTTTTGTGTTTAATACCTTGTTTTCTGCAATGAAAGCCCATGAGATTGATAGAGATTACTGAAGAGATGTGGTCTTTGATGGTTATTTCCACTAAGAAAGGGAGTAAGTTCCATTCTCCTGCAAGAAGATATTTCCTCCAGGGACAACCACCTCACTAAGGAAAACAGGGATCTGATGATGCAGGTGGACTTTGGATCTCAGTGCCATCCTCCTGGCGGTTACAGACAATTTAAAAGAAAAAAGCAGAGAGAAATCTGTGTGCCAAACAAGTCTATGGCTGCCACAGATGCAGTCTACACTGCAAACCCAAGAACACTGGGAAACACTGCATGTTCAAATACATATCTTTAACCTCATATTTAAACAAATATAAACCAAAATAAACTTTGTATTTAAACTAAAACAAATCTGTTTGGTTTCTTAACAGAAGCATCTCACAAAGTGCCTGCACATTTCCCTGATTCAGACAGTGAGTAGTAAACCCCAACAGCCCCCTGACTTGCACTGTGTAAAAAAAGGCACTGGGGTCAGAAAGCAAAGCTCTTCAGATGAAAATCAAAGAATGTGCTGAAGTGTTCAAAACCATTAATGCCTTTCATTACTAATGTTGCAACAAGGCGCCTTCAGGGCTGGATTAAGTCTAGTTTTTTGTAACCATTCTAATAAAGCAACAGTGCCTGCCTTGTATCGGTTTGAAGTCAAATATAAAGGGGCTAAACTTTGAAGGATCTCCCTGCGCACAGCAAGCACAACTGCAAACAGATGAATGTCATTACTGACTGTGCCTGAACAAGCTGTTGACCTTTGCTTAAGCCTTGGGAGAGCACTGAACAACCCAGATGGAAAACCAGCAAAAAACCACTGTAGGACAGAAGAATTAAATTATTTTCCCACCTGCCCTTCCATTTTGCTAAATTACTTCTCTTGGTTTGCTCAGCCACATCTTTCCAGTGGTACATTAGACCACACACAGAGCCCGTCTGCGTGGTGGGACAGGTTTGAGCGAAGCCCCCGGAACACATTTTGACCTTCCATTTGTTGCCTTCTTCATTAGCAGTGTTTTTGCCTTTTTTTTTTTTTGCCATGGCACATGTCCAAATGTTTGTGTGCTAAGCAGGGCCTGAAACCTGGAAAGAAATTTCTGTGTGTGTGTTCCTGTCCCAAAATGCAGTCTCTCAGCTACCACCCGGCAGGGAACTGAGGGTGCTCAGGAGAAAACACTTCTCATCAGCACATGTGCCATGGAAATGCCTGGCTGAGAAAATCACTGATCCCAGAGACACAATGATGGGCAGAAATGCAGATCACAACCCTAAACATACTCTGAAACCATGACCCAAGGGAGGCTACGTGAGTTACTCCAGTCACCCTTTACCTCCATGCAGTCTGCTCCTAGTCTGTAAGGAGACTACAACTCCTTTTATATCAGTAGTGCCACTCCAAGCACGTTCCTCAAACTGAGGATTATCTCCAGTGAGGCAGGGGAAGGCTTAATTTGTACCTGGAGGCTCTTTAAGGACATCATTAGGACAGCTTTCATGCATGAGGCTGCTCAGCTGTGTGAGAGAACACCCAGGGCAGAAACAAAACACTGTTAGACATAAGATCACTTAATCTGAGATGAGCATTTACTGATCCTCACAGCACATGTCTTTCATATTTCTATAAATAGATCACCTCAATAAAACAATGTAGTAGTATGAAAGTTAAATGGGGATGTAAATTACTTTTTAAGCATGAATAGTTTATTTTATACACAAAACCCTCAGTACCTACCTGAAATCAGAATTACAATATCGTTGGTGAGTCAGAGAAAGAATGAAAATGTTTTCAAACACACACAAAAAGACATGTGGGGTCTGCTTATGGCATTGATACAAAGAGCAGAATTTAAAGGATGGCCTTATCTCAGCCACTTATCAAGTAAATTAAATTTACATTGTTACTGAGGATGTAAAACTGTGAGCTGGAAAATTGGTAGCATGTGTAATTTCGGCGCTCTCTAGTAAATGACCAAACCTTGAACTTCCTGGGAAGCTGAGGGAAAAACTCTTCTGTGCTAGCAGGCATACAGCTGGACCACAAGAAACTTCAGAATTAAAATGGTTTACCTCTTTTCATATCAATGTGTGTGCATCTCCACATATTTTGTTTAATTTAATATTACCCAGTTAACAGTCTTTCCTGTATGACATGGTGTGCACTTAGGGTTTGAGTAGTTCCTCATCACTCCTCCTGAGCACTGCAGGGGGGTCTCCACTCACTGCCAGAGTGGCCCAAAGCCACTCAGAGCAGGATAGAGGGAATCTGGTGGGATGGTCAAGTCCACGTGTTAACTTTGTGAAAAATTTGAAACTGTGCAAAGTCTGAAATCTTGAAACAATGCCAAGATTCTGCCAGCAAGCTCACGCCTAAAATTGATTTTCAATATTTCTGTTGCCTACATTTCTGTTTCCAGCCTCGGCACAGTGCTATCTATCACAAAACTCATTTTTACAAGCCCAGCCCTCCACAGCACCCACTTTTTCTCTAACTGAGCACAAAAATCTTGCTCAAGTTACATTTGCTAAAGCACAGGACAACTGGCTGTGATGTACTTAAATCTGGAACAAAGAGGACTTGGAAAAGACCCATTCGTAAAGAAATTGTCAACAGACCAGAGGACTCTGTTATGTTCCCCTACTTAAAAACCTAATCATAGGTTTAGGCTTGTGCAACTTGCCAAATTTGTAGCTCAATGAGCAAAGAACCTCTTTTATATTTTGCTGCCAGCATTAACATTTCAGAAAAATGGAATGCAAAAGCTACTAAATTAAGATAAATTACATGCTTTTCCCTTCTTATTCTGAATTCTGATTCAGAAACTGAATTCAGGATTCTTTACATGGAATGCATTTACAAGTCTCTTCAGCTGAAGCAGTGTTTATCCAAACTGACCATCCTGCACTTAAGTGCTGCTTTGAATTTGCTCCTTAATCACACACAGAAATGGACAAATTTTTTTCTGATACTTAATACTGAAGTGAGGATTTACTTAACCTATTTCATCCCCTTGAAAATAGCACGGGATTTCATCAGGCCTTTCCTAGTTAGGAGTTGGAAAACAGCAGCAATACACTTTGGGTAAGTTTTCTTTCATTCCATGCTCAGTTTATTCCTGTGTCTGGCACATTTCTAAATTCATTTATGAGGTAAATATAGTTATGCTAAAATAAGGCAGATACATACCAAGAGTACTTTTCTTTCTCCATTTAATGCAACCTCCTGGAGAAAGCCTGAGTAAATGAGTGAACCCTATCATATGCACTGGGGAGGGTGGAAATCCAACCACACTTCAGTGCCCTGAACAGTCTCTCTGGCGAGTATTGATTCTGCCTGTATCCTCGAAAAAAGGGATGCAGCCAAAGACTCTCCTGGGCCAGCTTGTCTGCATCAAAGAGAACCAACAAAACCTAAACAAGGCCTAGACATGCTTTACACCCTCACAGCTGTGATCCCAACACAGGAGGGCAATTCCAACACAGGTACAGCTGCAATGTGTCTCCCTAGCCTGGGGAGGGAAGTGCTAAGAGCTTTGTGCACTGCAGACACCTCACTGAGCAACTGCTCACAGCTTCTTCCTGAAGACCTTTGGATGCTGGGGAATAACTGCAACATCCATTGCCTTATGGAGGGCTGACAAACTATGTGCCCACAAAAGAAAAGTGCCATTCAATCTTCTTTCCAAGCTATGTCTTTTAGCCTTCATTATTTCACCAGTTTCACATCCTATGATAAATGCATAGCTGTTAAACATCTCCCCAGAAAGCTGGGCAGAGGTGAAGTGTTGGCACTCTACAGCAACACAAAATCACCTTACCTAGCCTGGCTTAAGTACTTTTTTCTCTGGGGTACAGTAGAGTCCATAATGTGCCTATTTTCCATCATCACGAACCCAATCCCCACCAAAAAACTCCAGGAACAGATAGGTCTATGGCGGTCTTTACATCTGTTTGGTCAGGCACCAGATTCTCTTACAAGTCTGCTTACTCAGCAAACCATGCATGAAGTACTTCATTCCTTTCACCCATACTCCAAACCACAGCTTGGTACTCAAGGCACTAATGCAGGCAGCCACCTCCAGCACTAGCCAAAATTTCCAAGGGTATGACTCCAACATCTAAGAGAGCACAGGCAGAAATCTGCAAGACAGCTGCAAAAATGGAAACAGAAGCCTTATTGTCCAGGTTTTGCAATGTATTACTTAATGCTGCTGATGGATTTATACATCTCTGCTGGGGGGATGTCTATCAGCTGCTCCCTCTGCCTTACATGGAACATGGAATTCTGTGCTGATCCTGGACGGTCTGCGCAAATCAAGCCCAAGCATCCCACACATGAAGTTGTTCACAGCTCATGTGCTGAATTCAATTGGTCTCTTTTCCATGCCAAATAGACAGCACAGAGAGCGTAAAAGAATAATAATTTAAAAAAAAATCTTAAATGAATTGATTAAACCCAATCCAATTTCACTGTGGATTGTATTACCTAGAGGAAATGAAGCAGGCTTGTGACACATGAAAATTTGTTTTTAATAGGTATTCTTGTTATATAAGTGAGGAGAGAACGTATATTTCCCCTAATATTTTTTTGCTTTTTTCATAGCCTTTTTCCAAGGCAAGCTTCCCCAAAAAATGGTCCCTGCAGCACCCATACAACCAGTATCATATTCCACTTCTAAAGCAGGCAAAAACTCAAGAGAAATTCAAGCACCTGAAACATGCTTTTCCTTGCAGTACAGTACTGATAGCAAGGAACGCTTTGTAAAATAAAAATTAAATGTTAAATCTTTGTAAGACTGCATTTTACTCAAGCACAGAAGGCAATACAACAGATGGAAATGGTCATGCAATTCTGACCCTGCCTCAAATGTCTCTTTCCTGAAGCACATTGAAAGAGTTCCAATAAAACTGTTTTTCTTCACATAATTCCTGATATTACAAAGCCATCTTGGTATCATTTTGCCTTTTCTTCCTATTTTACTGCTGCTTTATTTACTGCTTTTTATCAAAGTGATACAAACGCGTCTTCTTCTACGCCTGCTCCTCATTTACTATGATTTCAAACTTGCTAGCTCAGTACTAGCAGCAATCCAGCTGTGGCAGAGCACAATACAGGCTATAAAGGCTGTGCAAGAGCAGTAAATACCTCGCTGATAGCCTGCCTTCAATTCCGTGCTGCTTCACTTAAACCATTACCAAAACTTGAGAGGGTTTAACTGCGGCGACTGCAGCGCAGTTTGTGCTGGCTGGGTTTTCCTCCCAGAGCCTTTGCTAACGCTGCTTTCTGCTTTGTTTACACAGCAGTTTTACAAGCACCGTTTGCCTGTGTTACTGGAATGGAAAGTGGTGGTGGTGGTGCTCCGAAAAATGACAGCTTGCTTTGGTCACTGACCAGCTGTAAGGAAAGGCTTCTATTTTCCTGGTAATCGGTTATTGTATTCAAACATGCAGGCCAGGCAAATTAATTTGAGCATCCTCTTTAAAAAAAAAAAAAAGAAAAAAAAACAACCAACCCTAAACGAAAATTGGAGTAACACTATCATTCATTCAGACACGGTTTAAGATCGTGAGCCGCATTGCTTACCTATGGATATGGTCCAAACTGCAGCAATTTTCATAATGGCCTTGGTGCGGGAATTGAAGCGGCTGTGCTCAATGGGATTGCGTATTGCTACGTACCGATCAAGAGAGATGGCACAGAGATGCATAATAGATGCAGTTGAAAAGAGCACATCTAGGGAAATCCATATAGGGCACAACTGTTTAGGCAAAGGCCAAGCATAATCTGAAACATAGAGAGAAAAGAAATGAAAGGAAAAAAGGAAAAGGAAATGATTTGGGGAGCTAGGCCGTCATTTCTGAGAAACCGTCAGGGTGTTTTAACTCTGCGACACCAGTTAAGGGGCACGTGCATGAGGAGGGGACAAGAAACCCCTCACAGGACCTCTCCACAGGCAGTCCCTGGCCCTGGACACTCCATAAACCCGCGGCCAGTTCCCACACATCTGATTTCTGTGAGCAGTACCTAAACGGCAATGCCCTCAAGTGACCACTGTTAGCTCTGTTTTCTTCTCTCTTAACCTTTCCGCCGTATCTTTAGAAAATCAAATATTACATTCCTTTGTTACTGCCTCATCACGTTCTTTTCATGGGTTGCAAAGCGCTTTGTGGTGTTAACTCCACTCAGATCCTTTCTGAGGCTCCCTTGATCTGTACGTCTCAGCTTCTGTCTGCTGAGGAGAAAAGCAGCAGGCAGTTCTTCTGCACAGCCTAACACAGCTACATGACACTACTCCACCTTTTCTCCCCAGGCAGAGGAACACTCGCCTCCTTACAGAGCAGCTGGGATTGAGTGGCTGAAATTTGAAAGCTGTTTTGAAGGTAGACAGAGCAGAGCGTTATTCTTTAGAGAAACAAGTGTGCCAGTAAACAGAACAGACTAGATAGTCTGACAGCAGCTGGCACGCAGCTCATTTGGGTGCCTGCACTTATTAAACTGTTCATTCAGTGCTGAAGTACAGCTTGAGAGCAAAAATGACCCAGAAAGATCCTCAAGGGGGAGTGATATTTAAATTAAAACTCAGAAAAAAAATTGATTTGTGAATGATAACCCCATGTCAATGCCCAGAATGGATTGTTTGAGATCAATAACAGAGCCCTGCCAAGCTCTGGGCTTCTTAGGAAAACAAATCAAGAGTATCTATAGCAGCTGAAAACATGAGAGACTTTATAATAGTTGAATAATGAGATATTCTTGTGTCTTCATTCAGAACGTGGATATCTAAAGCAATCTTGAAGTTTACCCCAAGGATCAGAATCATCACTCTGCAGAATCAATGTTATATTAAGAATCGTGCAGCTCCATCCCACTGATCTTGAATGGAAAAGATGAAACATTAGTCTCAGAAATCATATTTTGAAACAAATTACCCAACCAAGAGAGACCCAGGATACCATTATGCAGAAGCCTGAGATGAACTGAACCAGAGTAAATTATTATGAAATGTCCCAGAGAAGCCCAGGAACCTTTCACAAAGAGCACAGCAGAACGAGATGGACACATTAGTTCATTTTACCAGTAGGAAACCCACAGATGAAGTGCTAAGTACTCACCAAACCCACACAAGACCCCAGCTCTGGGGAGATAAGCCATTCATTTCAGCAAGTTTGCACCACTTCTACTAAAAGGACTGTAAGTGGACTGAACTCCACAGCAACAAGCATTTAAGAGGTCCCTAGTGAAGGGAAATAAGTAAAGCACTTTGTGGCTGGAGCATCTTTATTTAAAAGACAGCTCTGCTGTACAAATGAATTGAGCTTGGTTAAATTATGACTCAGCCCCTCTATGACACTACGCTCAAACTTCACCTCCTGCTCATGTTCACACTTTGCAATTGCTTAGGACATCATTGCCATCAGCCTGCAACTGAGCTCAGAGCTCCAGCTAAGCACACCTCAGATATGCTGGGTCTTTAATGATGCCTCAGTGAATGCCCCAGGGAAGAACAAGTCTGAAATCCTACAAGTGGCAGCCGCACTCCCTGCGCAGCCCCAGGCTCTTGCTGCCAGCCCATGCTAAAGTACATTCAGCACATTTTATACCTCACTACTTCTCCTCTGCATTGCCAGAGCCAGCTTTCTGCTACAGGCTGAAATGAGCCATGAGCACAAAGCCCCTGAGTGTGTCCTGATGGAGGAAGAGATCCCTGGCAATGTGTGCGGGGTGATCATGACTGTGCAGCAGCCTCTGCATCGGGGAATGGTGGCATGGATGGCTACTCCCCACATCACACAGACAGGCAGGAAATCTCCAGTGTCTCCAGAAAGAGATGCCAGGCCTCCAGGCTTCCCATGCGTGGGAGCATCTCCAATCTGATCCATGGCACCGCAGTGGGTACAATCTTATCCCTGACATTTGCTAGACCTGGGAGAGGTTTCTACAGCAACCACCTTTTCAGCATTATTGAATGATGAATGGCCTCTCTTACTTCTTCTTTTGAGCAACCCAAATGCTTCCCGTGTCCCCCTGGAACAACTTCTGCTATTGATGTGAACCAGGCACAGCACTGCAACCAAAAAAACCAGGAGAAGCAAAAGCAACAGTAAATATTCACGCCCACGGTGTCACCTGCTGTCAACCCTGGCACTGCAGGAACCAGCAGATCCAGGTAACACTGCCTAGAGTTACTGCCCAGGCAACCTGTCAGGATGTTTTTGAAGATAAAGGTGATACTAGAGCTCTCCTAATGCCTAATCCTTTTAGTTCTTACTGTCCCAGAGCACTCTGTTACACTTCCAGCTGAAAAGCCAGTTATAGGAGGAGACATTTTGCTTTCTCAGGAAGTTTCCTAAAATGATCTGCAATAATAAAACGTCACTCCGGAAATTTGTAGAATGGCAGCTTGTAACACACCACTATACCTTGATAGGAAGGGCATAATATATACTCTACCTCAAAATGTAATTATTTTTAAGTAAGAATGGTGTGTGCACTTGAAAAACACCTACACAGCCTACGAAGCCAGGAATTTGTAAAAAATGAAAAACAGATTTATTCTAATTCTGTTTTGAATAAATGTACAAAACGTAAGAAATGTGCCCTGTGACTGTGCCAAGATGCAAACAAGGATTAAAAAATATTCTGTTAACAATGTTATACCTTTAAAGCAACCTTATCCCTAGAAACTCTCTATCTGCAGAACGTAACAGTTCTCTAATTTGTTCTATTTTCTCTCATTTCACAGACAAAGAATAGCAATTACCATATATTTAGAAGAGCAGATGACTGAGTGAAGTGAATTCTTGGACCCCAGCACTTCTAAGACATAGCGATTGCATTTCCAATAGAAATCATGTATTTCAGTCCCAATTTGGCTCCAGACAGAACAAAACACCTGGGTAAGCAAAACCCAAATTTTTTGCAAGAAACTCTGATTTTTACCTTGAAATAATCTGTGCCCTTAAAATCATATACTTAATGCACTGGCTGGTAGGCCAGATAGGAGAGTGCTGAAGGGAACTAGGTGAATCCAGCAGATCAGAACAGAAGTTTGTATTTCCTTACCCAGCATGTAATCAAACTGCAGGGTTTTTGCCTCCAGACATTTTGTGAACGCCAGAAGTTTACACTGGACAAATTCACAGAGAAAAGCATAGAGCAATGATATTACTTTTAGGTCAGTGTTGGCTTCTGGCTCTGGTCAGAATAAAACACAGTGTATAAAATCCAGGCAGGACACTTCTGCAGAATATTGCCTCAGCCTCCAATGCTGAGTAGCATCTCATGGAATCAGAGTTCTTCCCAGGACACATGGAACAAACACTCATATTTAACCAAGAGTCATGGTCCCTAGGTGGGATTTCATCTCCTGCCCTGGGATGAAAAAGCAAACCACAGTTCCTGTGTGTCACTGAACAGCTGAGACGAACACAAAGTGTTGGCAACAAAATACAGAAAATCAGAGACGTTTTGGCAAAGTCACAGAGCATCTTTGTGTGTAGATAATTTCCTGTCGGATAAGAGGTTCCTTACATGTTTTGTGCTTTCCATCAGGAAAGATGGCAGCTATGAAATTGGATTGCTTTTGTTAGAGGTTTAATGCATGTGGGTTAAAAGTGTTGCTTAACACTGTTATTATGGTGTTGTGCTCTTCACTGCATGAGAGTCAAAATTACCAGACACTGTAGCAGCAGATGACTGAATAATCCAAAACACATCAAATGGAATCAAAATTAATTATGTCAAATGGTAAAACAGAATTGCTCCAGATTGTAGGAGAATGACTGAACTGGAAAAAAATAATAATTAAAAAATGTCTGTTGCTTGTACAAATTAAGTACTGTAATGCAATCTGCTCCAGTATATCTCCTGGGAACATGTAGTGTAACACCTAGGACAAATCTAGCAACAAAATACCTGCTTACACCACAATAAAGCAAAGAATTATGTAAAATTTATCCCTGTAGCTTCAGGAGTTATTAATGGGAAACTCACAGTAAGCTGCATCAATCGTCTCTTTTCTAACCACGAGGATGAATTTGGAAAAGTTTCAAAACACTGTTGTGTGCTGTGGAATAAAGCCTACCCTTGCCCACTGCTAAAAGTCTTTTTACCACCACTCCACCGCTGATGCAACTTAAGTATTTTACACCAACCAGAATTTCCAGTGTTCACTTTAAAGTTTCATGGCTGCCACAGCCTCTACAAAAATAGAAAGCAATTACACACAGTTTTAACATTACTGCATTGCATTATTCCCAAGGGAACGAAAGAATTTAAATTATTCTCTTCTCTCTCGCTCTCTTATCTAGGAAGTAAAGAATTTCTTAGCTTTACTCTTACTGATCTGGTATTTCAGGCTATGTTATCTCTTTTCTGCTAGTTTGTTTCTTCAGATTTACATAGACAAATGACTCTGTGTCACCCTGAGAGTCACACAACCAAGGGTGCTGAAAAACTCCATCATGCCCAAGAAGTACAGGATGTCTTGCTTGACCCCCTGCAGTCCTCAGTGGTTGTCAGTACATCCACAGAGGGGCCCAAGCAAGTGCCGCCAAGCCTCCTGGCCAGAGGAGCAACTGGTCTCAAGGGCAGCACTGGCAATGCTGTTTGATTTTATCATCAATAGAGCGGAATTTAATGTCTTTTCTGACATATTGAACTCCTGGGCACTGAGTTACATGAGAAATTGAGTTTAAGTTTCTAACCTGCATTTTCTATAGGAAAAAAAGGCTATCCTAATGCTCTCTGAATCCCTTAAATAGAACATATTCTAGCACAGCCAA